GGTCTGCTCCCCTGCGTCGAGGCGACCCCGCGTGTGGGGCACCAGCCAGTGGCGGTACTCGTGGCTGGACTGCAGGGTGAGTGCCGCCGCGACCTGGCTCTCTAGGTAGGCCAGGGTGGTCTCTTGCTGCACCACGTGAGGCACCGAGAAGAGCCGGGCAGCCTGCCTTCCCGAGCTGCAGAGACGGAGGCGCGGGATGAGGCCGGGGCACTGCACAAAGGCTACAGGCCAGTGTGCCCGGGGCACCATGAGGAGCCGGCAGGGTGGTGGGCACCAGCTAAAGACTCCTCGGTGGCCAGCACCTCGGCCCCAGGCCTTCTAGCAGCCTGGACCTGCCATCGAGGTGTCCGAGACGACAGGCCAGTGCCCCAGCTCTCCACCCTAAATATTACCCCCGCGTGGCTAGCTCTGCCTCAGCACCCTCAGAGGGCCGCGGGGGCCCCTAAGTGACAGGGCCGAAATCCTAGCCGCCTCTACAAGGCATTGCACGACATGGGCCCGCACCCCTGGCACCCCTGGCCGGCGTCGCCCCGCCTGTACTGGGGCCCGGGGACAGGACTGCTGACGGTGCCCTTGCCATGTGGGTCACGTACTTGGAGGTGCGGCCCTGGATTATGGCTAAGGGTCCTGAGCACAGCATGGCGTCCTGGGATGGCAGGCTGCTCCTGAAGTCTGCGCACTGAGCCAGTGAGTCCTGCTTGTCAGAGACCAGGTTCCTGGGGGGACAAAGGCAGCAGAGCTCAGGGACATCTGGAGGTCTGCCAGGGGAGGCTGGGGGAGGACAGAGGGGTGGGCACCACTGACGCACCCCAGTGCTGGCGAAGGGTCTGGTTAGTGATCGTTCCAGAGGGAACGGTAATGACAGTGCAGGGCACTGGTGTGGGCTCCCTGCGAACACTGGAGCTCCAGCCTTTGCTCCCGACGAGCTGCGGGTGGAGCGTGCTTGGCACGCCGGCTTGCTGATGGCCATCGGCCGCCCCAGGGCCCACGTGTCTCTGCCAGATGCCACGAAAGGCCTGGCCTCTAGTCTCTCTGTGCCTCCACTCCATCCCCAGGCAGACAGTCCTCCACTCCACGTGGACCCTGCACATCCTTGCTAAAAAAACAGTCTTCAAATACTTTAGAGATGGCCAGATGCCTTCATAAATGTGTCCAAAATACAAAGATGCCCACGCAGAGCCAGCACGTGTTCCGGAGTAATCAGCTTGCTCCCGTTATTACAGCGTATACAGCACACACTCTGCACTCTGAGAAAGCAGGTGGTAGAGAATTTTTTTTTTAATTCAAGAAATCCCAATGAGTACAGGCTGGCGCTTGGCAGCTCTTAACAGACAAGGGGCTAGAAGGGATCAAACTTTGGTTCTGACGAGCCAAAGGTGAAGGAGGAAGAGCACGGACTTTGACATCTGGGAGAGCGAATGCACCCCCACTAACTCGCTGCATCGGTTTAAGTGCTACCTTGCCCCTAGCACACCCACCGAGTCTGACCTGCACTGGTCGGGGCCAGCTCACCGATGTCGGCACCGGCCGAGGCGGCCATCCTGCAGACACACCTACGGGGCCAGCTCGGCAACGTCGGCGCCGGCCGAGGCGGCCATCCTGCAGACACATCCCCAGGGCCTCACAACATCCAAATGCTTATTCCAAGTAAAGTGTCTCTAGAAAAAGCTCAGGACAGGACAGTCCCCCTGCACAGGCACCGAGGGCGGAGTGCTGTGGGCCAGCAGTGTCCCACGGGGACAGTTAATCTCCTGGCTGTCCCTGGGACCTGCACTCAGGGGTCCAACTCTCAGGGGAAGCAGGGCCCAGCAGGCCTGATGGCGGGACCCACAGCCCTTGCTCTGCTGCCCGGAGTGGCTGGACTCTCGGGGAGTGGGGGCAGCTGGCTTACCACGTGGACAGGGCCGGGTTAAAGCAGTACGCCTTCCCATCGGACAGGTTCATCACTGGGATTCCGTGCTGAGTCAGCAAGATCTGCGACACCGTCATGTCACTGCCTGGGGAAAAGCACGGGAACGAGTTCTGGTGTGTCCTGGTCGGCACGTGTTTGCACGTCACCAAAGGGGACATCTGAGCACGGCTCCCGTGGCCCCAGCATGAGTGCTTCGGCTGCAGGGAGGGCTGCCAGGGCCTCTGCACGCACCGTCCCCACTGCCACCCGCCAGGCTCCTCAGCATGCCCATGTCCTCCTGAGTGTAAACGCACCCCTGCCCCCCTGGGGTCTGGTCGAGCAGAGCTCCTCTGCATCACCCTGGGACCCAATCCCGCGGGGAGGAGGGTGGCCCGTGGGCTGGGTTACCTGCCAAGATGGAGTGTAGAGACTCTTCTTTTACCACAACCACCTGCCTGTGAACATCCCTAGGAGAAAACGGGGCAGCTTACTCTACCGGGGTCAACGCGCCTGAACCTGGCCTGCTCAGACACCCCAGGCCCTGTGTGTGCCCCCGCCCGGCACTGTCCTAGTGAAAGGGATCTGGGATCCGAGGGGCTTCTGCCCCCACGTGCCACCAAGCTTCTTCTGACACATCTACCGCACAGGGTCCAGGCAACGGATCCAGGGGGCCACCTTGACACCTGTGCCGGCTCTTGGAGAAGCCGGGCCGCAGCAGCCACACCAGGTCAGCTGAGCTCCCACTCCTGATGACCCGTTTCAGGGACTAGTAGGGGGTATGGTGGTTAAGGCGCTGGGCTCCCACACGGCCAACTCCAATTCGAGTCCCAGACCTGGCGGCTCAAATATCACACCAGGAGAATGTGGGTGCCCAAAATCCTGAGAGGAGAGTGGAGAAGGAACTACGGTGTGGCCATCCCTCTGGGGGTGACCTTTCACTTTCCCTCTCTCTGTCAAGTGCATGTGATATATAGCAAAAAACCTAAAAGACCCTGCCACATGCAACTGGGCAGTGTGATGTCATGTGGCCTGCTCCGGTACAGACGACAGTAGGGCAGGCTGCCTCACTTCCCCTCGCACAGCCCCCTGCTCAGCCTGCAGTCCACAGCGGCGGTCCATGCGAGCAACGCCGGGACTGCTCGGGCCTCCTCCGGGGCTGACGGCAGGCCCTCTGCACGGCCTTCCCTGCCCCTGCAGGAAGGTGGGACTGCACGGCCCCACCCTGCCCGGAACCTGCCCACCCTTGCCTGCTTCTCACCAGACGGACAGCGTGGCCGCAGCGGTGAGTGCCATGACGTAGGAGCCTGTGCAGTGCAACGTGGAGATGGGGGACGGCAGGAGGATGGGAGGGAGGAGGCGGCGACCACAGGTGGAGAACACCGACAGCATCCTCTTCTCACAGGCGACACACACCACGTCACTGAGAAGGGGAGGGCAGGTGTCATGGGGACCAGCACCGCAGCACACACAGGCCCTGGGAAATGCAGACTCTCCCTCTGCCTCGGCCTGACACGGCCTTCCCCTGCAGCGCAGCGGAGGAACAGCCAGGATGGGGCTGTCACGAGGACTGGGCCAGGGCAGGGACCAGGCTGACCGAGCCTGCCTGAGGGCTCCGATGGAAGACTTCTGCCGCCTGCCTGCACACAGAGCCGCTCGTGCCGTCCGGAGTTCACCCTGAGGCTGTGCACGTGAGTCACCCTGGAGGCGGTCTTGCTCTTGGTGAGTCCACCCAGCACCCACGTGAGTCTCAGGCTGTAACTAGCCAGAGCCCTGAGGTCTCTGCTGAGGTAGGCTGAAGATGAGGACACAGGGGTGCACCTCTGGAGGGGACGCCAGCTCTGTGCTCAGAGGGCCGTTAGGCTGGGGCAGGAGCAGCCTGTCACCCTGAGCGCGATGTCTGGAGGCTGTCCAGGCCAGCACCCCCAGCAGCCAGCAGCTCTGGGGGTGCCCAGCACACATAGGCTGCTTGCCTTCCTGGAGAGGGCCCTCTAGAGGCCCAGGGTGAGGCCAGCGCTCAGATCTCGGGGAGCAGGGAGCAGGTGTGCAGCCTGCACGGGGGCCCCTGGTCACAGCTGACCACTCAGCTCTACCTTGTATCGCTTCTACCTGCTAAGCCAATGCCTGGGTCTGCATGGCAAGGCCCCTCTGGCCCTGGTGGGCTCACCGTAAGAGGTCAGGTAAGGGCAGAGCTCCACCAACTGCCCTCCTATTGACACTGCTGCTACTGACTCCTGAGAAGGAGCGGCCCAGTGAGGAGACTCGTGGACACATGTCTACGCTGAGCGCGACTGAGGGAAAGCTGTGAGCAGGACACACCCGCGTGGCGTGCTCTGAGGTGCCGTGGCTGCGCTCTGTCTGAGGGCTGGCACCTTCTGTAAGCCTGCGAAGGAAGCACCCCTGTGGGGTTCAGTGTGGGGAAGGTGGGCCGGCTGGGCCTGGGTAGGAGGGGAGGTCCTGGCTTGCTGGACAGGCCTCCCCAGCAGCTGCTGTGTGTGCCCTCGGCCCCCAGTGGGGGCTGCCAGTTGCCTTGGGACAGGGAGTAGAGTGGAGCCCAGAACAGCGCCTGCCACACAGGTGCCTAGGACTGAGAGCTGAACAGGCTCACCCCAAGGGAGGGCCCCAGGGGGAACGGAATGCTGGGGTCCTGCCTGTGACCTTGCTCAAGGCTCCTGGGAATTCTGACCTAAGTCTAACAGTCTACAGCCACATGTGAAAGCAGCTACATGGGGTGTGTGCTAGACGGTAGGGGTCCCCTGAAAAAGATTCTGAATGATCCCCTAGCAAGACCCCGATAAGAACAGTTGCCACACAGGCCTAACTGGGCCCGTGCCTGACAGGTCCTAGAGGGAAACGCTGACCCTCTTTCCAGACGGAGTGCAGGCAGAGCCAGGCGCACACGTGGCTCCAGGATCCCGCGGGAAGACCCGGGTGACTGCCACTGGATCAGTCTCCTCAGTGCTGGGTCTGGGGAGGCTGGGCTGGGGACCTGGTGGACGGTCAGACATCCACCCTGACAACTGGATCACAGTCTGAAGTCCAGAGAAAGAACCAGCTCAGGCCGAACAGAGCCAGGTAGATCTTGACCTGCAGCCTGAAACTCTGGGGGTGCGGCCAGAACAGGGAATCTAGACTACCAGCTTCAAAGCCCGGCCTGGGTACCTCCTGAGGCTGTTCCTCCACCTGTAACCTGGGGATAAGGATGCCGGCTTCCCTGGTGCTGCTGGAACTGAGACGACAAATGCACCTGTTTTGCCTGGAGTGAGGACCTGCGTGGGTCTCTGTGGGAGCCGGCACATGAGGGACCACCACCTCCTCAGGCCACATCCCAGGAGAGCCCCACAGAGCACGTGGTGCCTGCTGTACAGGACACGCTGGCTGGGCTAAGGCCCCCGCCTGCCCTTACCAGCTGCCAGCGGCAGTGAGGATCCGGCTGGTGAGCACCGTCTCCCACTCCTTCCCTTCCCGGTTGCACTTCAGCCGGCTCAGCTTCACGCCCCCCACGGCTGTCACTTCATTCTCCACTTCGATGTACATGGAGGGGTCGGAACTCACCTGGATGGAGGAAAGCAAATGTGCATCTTTTCAGGCAACAGCAGGTATGCTCAGAAGTGGCCCCAGGGCAGATGAAATGTTCAGAGGCCTCGCGGCCTGGGGCCTTAAGGAGGGCGAAGACAGGACACAGACTAGCCGACTCGCCAGCAGAGGATGGGTGGGAGGGCTGGGGGCTGGCTGTGTGGCCCTCTGGGGCTAGGGGAATGCTGGGAACTAGTTTCCACCCTGTCACTCTGTCATAGCCAAAGACCCCAAAGTCTCCGATCTAGTGCCTTGTCCCCCAAAGGTGACCTACCCAAGGGCACATGCGAGTAAGGACTCTGGCCAGCCAGGACGGAGCTGGGTGTGAGGACGGGGTTCTAACCTCCCGCTACTGTTTCTGGCAAGAACAGAACCTGCAACAGTGCTGGGAAGAGGGGACCAGGACATCCCCGAATGCCCTGTAGTTCCTGTGGCAGTGGGCACTCCGTCTGCTTGGCTGAGACCGGGCGGGCAGGAGTGTCGCCAGCATGGCACACACCAGTGTGCTTGGCCTCGTGCACGTCTGGGAGCTGACCCGCAGGTATTCTGCATGGGGGATCAGGTGGAGCTGCCAGACAGCCTGCACATGTGAACTAGAGCAGACGGCGGTGTGTGGCTCAGAGCCTCTGCAGGGGCACCCAGAAACCAACAGCCCCAAGCAGGACTCGGCAGTAAATACACCTCACGGGAGGGCTGGAGCAATGTGAGAGGGGAATTCTGTGCCAAAGGCTAAGCAGCAGGGCATCAGGAGGCACTCTGTCAGGGAACCAGGAGGGACTCTCTTGAACCTGAGTGTACAAGAGCATGTCTGAGTGTAGACTGCTGGAGGCGCCCTCTTTCCACTCACGTCAGTGACAAGAACAAACCCTGAGTCCCCACCTGCAGGATCCACCTGCTTCACTCTTTCGTATCGTGGCCCAGAAGGACCTATGGCTGGGGAGAGCTGGCACCTGCTTTCCGGTGCCCTGGGAGGACCAGCCTGGGCTGGGGTCAGTGTGATCAGTGGGGACTGATCAGCACACAGGGTCCAAGGCTGCCTGAGGCTCGCAGAGGCAGCAGTGTGGGTGACGAGTGGTGGGAGAGGCCTGGCCCTGGAGCTGGGCTGAGAGCAGAGGGCTTCTGGGTATAAAGGATTATTTGGTCTAGATGTGCTGTGAAAAAGCACAGTTACGGGGGGTTCTAACAGCTGTGATGACTCTGGGCCAGGCACTGGGAAGCAGACAAGGCTGACAGGATGGTCGGGAGACAGCCCACAGCTGTGCAGTCCAAACGGCACCGAGGCTGAGGCTGCCCAGGGCGGAGTGCGGAGGCAGAGGAAGCTCCTAGGAGGAGCCGAGACGAGTCACGGCCAGCTGCACACTCAGAAGATGCGACGTAAGAGCAGCTGGCCGTCGGGACAGAGAGGCGTGGGGTGGAGGGGAGGCTCCAGATCTCGCTAAGACATGCAGACTCCCTGAGCGGCTGCACGCCGTCCTGCAGAAGGTGACGGAGAGCCACCGGAAACCAGCCCCAAGGCCGTGACAAGACGGGGGAGGGGTGGGGAGAGAACGAGTGTGTGGTATGTGCATCTGTGAGGCCAAGGGTCAAGCACTCACCTGGAGGGTGAATGCTCTCTGGGGGCCCGGAACCGGCAGCCTCAGTGCAAGTGCTGGTGCAGACAGACAGATGGCCTCCTTCTCTGCAGTCAGGGTGGCTGGAGACTGGAAGAGCCAGAAATGCCCCTGAGCCCTGCCCCAGTGTGGCACGGCTAGCGAGGGTCAAGTTAAGTCAGCCGGGGGTGGCTGGGTATCTCCATCTGCTGACAGGGAAAGCATGGGGATTGCTATAATGATCCCCACTTTTCAGACAAGCAGCTGACCAGGGGACCTGCTCGGGGGCTCTGGTGGGTCAAGGGCAGGTCCAAGGAGAGTGTGGTCTCCACAGTACATGCCGGGGTGCAGTTCTTTTTTTTAGTTTTTGGGAAGTTAAGCTATAGGGCGCATGTGCTCACCAGAAAGACAGAGAGACAGAGACAGAAAGAGAGAAATCACCCCCCAGGGGGCATGGCCACGCCACAATCCCTTCTCCTCCATTCTCCTCTCAGGATCTTGGGCACGCACACACACGCCCGGCGTGAGTTTAAGCCACCGGGTCCGGGACTCGAACCGCGGTCGACTACATGGGAGTCCAACAACATAGCCATTACATTAACTGCTGGTCCCTTCAGGGTGCAGTTCTAAGACATCTGGTTTCCAAGGCATCCCATGTGGGTAAGGCACACCGTGGCAGGTGGAGCCTCAGTTCTGAGCGCGGGGAGTTGGGTGGGGAAGGTGGACGGGCCCGCCAGCCTCACCTGGACAGACAGAGACATGGGCATGAGACGGGAGTCCTTCCGAGGGCGCCCTTTCTTCTTCTTTTCCACGGTCTCCACCTCCAGCTCGAGCTTTCGCTTAGAGAGTGAGGAAGGCTTGGCCAAAGGGATCTTCTCATCACTGTCACTACTGCTTTCCAGCAGGTCCCGGGGCCTCAGCTCTTTCACAAGGTTCTGCTCTTTTAACCTGCGCAGAAACGTGACAGCACACTGCCCTTTAGGAACCATTCATGCAAGAACAGAGTGAACTGAAATACTTAGAGAAGTGTTAAAACAAAAAAACAAAACCCAACCCCCATCTAGAGTTCTGTATCCTGTGACATCACTCCCCCAAAGTGAAGGAGAAATACTTTCTCAGACAAAAAGCAAACACCCGAGGGAGTCTGCAGCCAGAGACCGGCCTTGTCAGAAATGTTACATGTTTTCCAGGGACCAGCAGTTAGCGTAACGGCTATGTCGCTGGACTCCCATGTAGTTGACCGCGGTTCACGTCCCGGACCCGGTGGCTTAAAACTCACGCCGGGCACGTGTACGTGCGTGTCCAAGATCCTGAGAGGAGAACAGAGGAGAAGAGATTGCGGTGTGGCCATCCCCCCTGGGGGGTGATTTCTCGCTTTCTGTCTCTATGTCTCTTTCTGTCTGTCTGGCGAGTACACGTGCCCTACAGTGAAAACCTCTCCAAAAAAAAAAAAAGTTACATGTTTTCCAGAGAGAAGGGAAACGATCCAAGTCAGAAACGTACATCTACATGAAGAAAGGAAGCGTGTTAGAGAATGGATACATGAATGTTAAATGAGATTTTTTATTTTTTCTGGTCTTGATGGACCTAAGAGGTAACTTTTCGTCCACACGATAACAGCAACCACATACTGGGCGGTGACAGCCTGTGAGTAAGTAATATAAGCAGTAGCGATGCTGTAGGGCGTGGAAGCGTGGGACTGGAAGTATTCTGTAAAAGGGCACCTATCTGACCTATGTCGCGTACTTTTAATTTGTATTTTTTAGATGTTTTTGTTAAAGGGTGCATGCGCTTGTTGGAGAGGGGCAGAGAAGGAAGGAAAGTGAGAAATCACCCCCATATCACAAGCTCTTCTATTCTTCTCTTGGGATTCTGGGCACATATACACATACACCAGCATGATTTTCAAATTGCTGGGGTTTGAAACATGGTCAGCCATTTGGGGGCCTAGTGCCTTAGCCACTACACCACCTACTGCCCTGGAGAGAGGTTTTCTTTTTTTTTTTTTTCACCCTTTTTAGAGAGATTTTTGCTATAGGGGATGTGCACTTGCCAGAGAGACTGAGAGACAGGAAAGAGAGAAATCACCATCCAGGGGGGATGGCCACGCCACAATTCCTCCTCCTCTAGTCTCCTCTCAGGATCTTGGGCACGCATACACATGCGCCCGCCCGGCATGAGTTTCAAGCCCCTGGGTCCGGGACTTGAACCCTGGTCGACTATCTGGGAGTCCAGTGACGTGATCATTACACCACCTGCTGGTCCTGGGAAGGGTATTTTTGATGGTCTTGCTATGCCATGATCGTCCTGCCCAGTCTCCACGCTAGTTAGGACTACGGGGATGGACCACCACACCTGGACTGTTTCGGTTGGTCCAGGAACTGAAACGGGTCCTCCCTATGGCCCCAGCCTTCCATAGCGGGATCCTACTGCTCACACTACCGCGGATGAGTCTTCTGTAAAGCCTTTATTAAAGACATTGGGCCTTGAGCCAGCTCTGTGGCCTGGCAGTTAGGGCAGCCAAATCCCATGGGGCTGACTCTGCAGTTCTGTACCTGCGAGCTTGAGAAACACGCTGGGTGTGTGTGGATGTGTGCTCCCAAATCTCGACAGGACAGAAAGAAGAGGAAATGGAGAAGTTTTTGTGGCGTGACCATTCCCCACGGGGGATGCCTTCCCCTTTCCTCTTTCTCTGGCAAGCGTGTACACCCTCTGACAAATTTAAAATAAAGATGGAAAAGAGAGAAAAGGAAAGAGAAAGATACTGAGGCTAATTTCACCCGTCTCCCTCGTATGAGGACCCCACCTGGCTCCTGAGGGTTTAGTGCCCGGCTCTTGGGCGCTCACCAGATGCTCAGGGGGCCCCACCCCAGTGAATGCTTGCTCACGGCCAGCTTCAAGTGAAAAGCCGGGACAAACCCAACAGCCCGCCCTCCGGGGGTCTGTGAGGAGCACACCCCAGCGTGGTCCTGCCCTCACTGGCTTCTCGCCTCCCGACAGCTGTGCCTGAGGGGCGCGAGCCACCCCGCACCCAGCGTCTCAAGTGCTCTAGTGGAGGAAGGCCTTCACATGCTCCGTAGTGCGGACAGAGAAACTGCTCGGCGAAAAGACCGTGCGGAATGGTTCACACCAAAGGCAGCGTGACCACATTACGGAGTCGAGTACTAGCTCCTACACCAAGGTTGGTTACTGCATCGGACGGGAAGGCAGGGTCCTCTCATACTGGCTTCCAGGGATTTATCCAAGGGGAACAGACCCTGCCCAGGTCAGCAGTTTTGGGACTGTGAGGAAAACCCCGGGGACAGAACACTGCGGCCTTAACTTCCAGAGAACACTGACAGCAGATGTGTCTCGCATGCGTGCTCCTTCATGGGACCCTGCTGCCTGGTGGCTACTGCAGGTCTCCAACCAGTGTCCCGGTATCTCCTGGCAATGGCACAGGCTAGGCTGGTGACGGCACAGCCCTAGTCTCCTTACTGCAGGATGCAGCCCCGTGAAGACAGCTCTTAAGCCCTGGGCTCCCGTGGAGAAGGTGGCCCAGCTGTGTCCAGCTCTCCGAGAGCCCAACTCCCTGGGGTGCGTGGCGAATGCCCTGCCATGGTGGGCTTGCAGGGAGCCGCCCGGGCCTCCGAGGGGGCACAGAAGCCTAATGCTAACAACAGAGACGGCGCTTACTTGGCTGCCTCAAGAGGGCGCTCTCCTGCATCTCAAGAAATAAACCATGGCCCACCTGACTCGGCTGCCGTGTGCTGGGAGAGATGCTGAGAATGGACAAATAGCACAGAGAACGCCAGAACGCCACCCTCTGGAAAAGCCCTCCGCTACATCGCCTGTGTCTGCCCCCAGCCCCGATCATTCCCAGGCAGAAAGGCGTCAGTGTGAGTGGTGCACTGCCAGCACCAGAGCCTCCAGCCCTCCCTCGGACGACGGTGTTAGTCTCAGCACGGACTCTGCACCCACAGCCCTGTCCCCACGGTCCCCGTTCTTTCACACACGGCATCCTCCCCCACCTGCCCACGTAAGCAGCTTCGGACCTGGCGGCTCACTTCGGGGCTCTGCTGGCGTACTTCCGTGTCCCGCATCCCAGAGGGATGGGATTCAGGCTGCTGAGTGGGAGCTGATGCGGCGTCGCGGGCCCACGCTTGCGTCTGTCCTCTCTGGGCCCCGCACGGTGACCACCTACCTTTCCACGGCTGATGGAGTCACACTGGTCAAGGCAGGGGCGCCGGGCGTAGCTTTGGACCGCTCTGTGAATCGGGAGTCAAACGCCTTCATGGGTTCGATCTTGGACGGGGTGGTTAACACGGAGGGTGACAGTGCAGCAGGAGTCGAGGTAGCGTTCACACTGGGGGTGGAGGAGATGGGACGCACGTCAAGCACAGTCCTGAATGGGCTGGAGGTCTAGGGTCAGCATTACTGGGAGCCTATCGAAAGGGGCACGAATACCAAACTTCCATAACCCTGACATTTTCCCGGCAATTTCGCTAAACTCAGTGTGTCAAATTTTGGGCCCGAGAAGTCGTGAGCGAATGTGTTCACACATGCCCCCCGGCATTGTTCCGAAAGCTTTTGGGGGTAGCATGAGGCTTAGGCAGTGGTTCTTACAACCCTTTTTCTAACTGCATAGCCCTGTCTGAGCATCTCACACTTCAACCACCAGCCTCTCCCACTTCCACTCGGGTCTGATGAGAAAGCCACCACCCTGGACCTTAAAGCCTGGCCCATTAAGGTCTGCTCCTGGCTTTCACCCTGCTTCCTGGGAAGCCCGCCCCACCTCTGTGACGACAGATTCTTAATACTCCTGTTAAGTGCTCGCCCACCCCTACCTTCTACTCCACAAGGGAGGAGGTCCAGGCCTGAGTCTGCCCGGGCCCTTCCCACATGCTTGGGCCCCGAACCACTGGGCCCTTTGGCCACGTCCAGGCTAATGCCCTCCACCACCGCCCACCTGCACAGTCCTCTCATGCTTCTCCATGGCCTGTGACCACCGCGGTCTGCGGCACCCACTCTGAAACCTCTCTCCCGGCTGGAGAGAGGCTGTCTGTCCTCAGACGCCCTTCCTCCCTGGGTGCTCCACTTCCTAACTGGCCTTACTATTCCGTCTCCTCTTCTGATCCGCCCCCACCGTTTCCTCAAAGCAGTCAGACTGCAGGCGTGGTGCCTGCCTCCAAGCCATGAAGCCAGAACCCAGAAACGGAGGCTGTCACACAGGAGACCCAGCCCTCGCACTGGGGAAGCACTCCCACGGGGTCAGCTGTGTGTACTGGCAAGCAGGCAGACCTGGGCAGCACTGCCGCCTGGAGTCAGCTTCCTGACAGGCACGTCCCAAAGCCTGTGTTTCCACTCTGGGGAAGAGCCTGGATCACCTGGCTCAGCAGAGACCCAGTGTCTCTCCCCTTCCGCCTTCTAGAGGGGCTCGGGGCTCTGCTCTCACTGCTGTCCCCACTCCCCACCCACCTCCCTTGGCTGGCCTGTTGGATCCCTGGGTGGAGCACCCTCTGAGAAGCCTCCCCAGCACGTGCCCGCCAACCACCCTCAGATGACTGGCCAGTTCTGCCCTGTGTGCCCCAGAAGAGCCCTGGAAACTCTCCCAACAGCCTACACTCCCTGAGGACGAGGACTCACTCGGCGATCCCCTACAGGGGACTGGGCCCTGGGACAGAGCATGGCCGAGCAGGGGCTGGGCTGACGCCTGCTCCAGGCTCTTACTCATGCCTGCCCAGGTCCATTCTCGGCCTAGACTTGGTTTCCGAGGAATGGCCAGTGAAGACATGAGCTGAGCCCACAGCCCTGTGAGTGAGGGAGCCTGTGCCCTTCACAGGAGCCGGCTGGCTGGGATAGACTGGGTGGTGCCACTCCCGGCATCAGCCCCTGGCGCAGGGGGGTGCAGGCCGAAGCCGGTTCCAGTGGAGACCTGCTGAAGGGGGCTGACCCTGTGGTGGGTGGCATTTCACGACAGTCTCCAGTGAAGTCCTCACGGCCCTGTGTATCCCACTCGCGTGAACTAGCCCTCCGTTCCGAGTAGGCTCTCATCCGAAACCAAGTGTTTCTTGCTTTACCGAAGTGCACACAGAAGACCGTTCTCAGCCTCCAGAACCGAGTCCAATCCTGGACTTCCTCCAGGGACAGGAGCAAGCCTTGGTGCCCACTAACCTGTCCTTGTTGACAGAATCTGCTGCGGGCCTGGCCCCGGCGGCTGCCACAGGCTCTGTGCAAGCTTTGGAGGTGCCGAACGAGTTGGGGGTGCTGGAGTCCAGTGGCAGGAGCTGGGGGCTGCTGTGAGAGGACAGCATGGAGCCCGGCAGGGAGCCCGAGAGCGGGATGCTGTTAAAGAACGCCGTGGAGAAGTCCCTGTCGTCAGCAAGAACAGAAGGCCAACGTCAGACGCCGCGTTACCTTCTAAAGGACTGCTTTCTGGGTCCAAAGGTGATTTACGAGGGGACTTCACAAAAGTGCGCAGAAAAGTGGAATTTAAAGTACAACTTAATTTGGCGGCAATACACTGGTTTTTTTTGGAGAGGTTTTTGCTATAGGGCGAGTGAACTCGCCAGACAGACAGAAAGTGAGAAATCACCGCCAGGGCATGCCACAATCCCTTCTCCTCCGCGCACACACACATGCCTGGCGTGAGTTTAAGCCACCGGGTCTGGGACTCGAACCGTGGTAGATCACATGGGAGTCCAGCGACATAGCCATTACGCTAACTGCTGGTCCCGCAATACACATTTTTTTTCTTTTTTTTGGGAGAGGTTTCTGCTATAGGGTGTGTGCGCTCAACAGACAGAGAGAAAGACAGAGAGAAAATGAGAAATCATCCCCCAGGGTGGATGGCCAGGCCACAATCCCTTCTCCTCCCTTCTCTTCTCAGGGTCTTGGGCACGCACGCACACGCGCCCGGCGTGAGTTTAAGTCACCGGGTCCCGGATGCGAACCGCAGTCACTACATGGGAGTCCAGCGACATAGCCATTATGCTAACTGTGTTTCGGGTTTTCTTTTTTTTTTCTTTCCCATGAACTTTTTGAAGAACCTTGCATCTCCATGGTAGAAAATTTGGAAAGTTACAGAGAACTAGAAAGCACATTAGAATCCCTTTGTCTGCTGTACTTAGCTGAGTCTAAGGCGCACTAGTACTAGTTAAAATGGCCAGGTGCTATTGGCTGTGTGATGCACCCTAGTCTCGACAGGGGCGCATCCTGAACCGTGTCTTGGAATGACATGCGGCAGACAGAAGGACCTCCCTGTCCTAAAGTCTGTGGGGGCCCACTGGATGAATATGCCCCGATTTACCTAACCCCGTCTCTGTGGAGGAACTGCAGGGCCACTTCTGTGATCCACACTGTTGCCACAGGAGGCCACATACTGCAAGACTGAGGGCCCTGAACATTCTTGTAAGCTTGCGAACTTGGCCACTTCCCCCCCCCCCTTCATCCTGCCTCAGGTCCCGAAGTGCCGGAGCCCTGCCCCAGGCCTTCAAGTGTTGCTGCCAGAACTAGCATGGTCAATGCAGCACACACTTAGAACACCCTGTGGCCAAAGATGCCTGGAATCAGAATGGTCATTAAACTCGTTGATTCACATATCATGAGAATAAATTGCTAGAAGTGGAATTATAGTAGAAATATATATTCACTGTTGATTTTTTTTTTTTTTGAGAGGTTTTCGCTATAGGGCACGTACACTTGCCAGACAGAGAGAGACATAGAGACAGAAAGCGAGAAATCAC